AAGATGGTGATTAATTATTTAGTTTTGATTTGGATTTTGCAGTTAATAAATCTAGATCCATCTCCATGTACCATTTGACCATTTTTGAATTGGCTAGTCATTCATGTTTTGATTATTCAATATTTGAACTTAATGGGGACTTCTTTCTGGTTTCATCTGGTACACAATTTGGAGATTTCTCTCTCTCTCTCTGTTTTTTTTTTAACTCAAATAGATGGCCTCTGATTTATATTATTTCTTTTGTTAGACGTCTGATCTGATGTTTGTCTTGAAGAATATATAGGATTTGCAAGAGGATGAAAATTTCAAAGAGTGCATTTATGGCATTTTTATGCACCTTAAATATGAGGAAAGGAAAAAGGTTAAAGGAAATATTTTTATTATGTTCGGTCAGTAACAAAGTAATGTCTTTTCTCGAAAAGAGAACTTCAATATTTATAAGGGAGATTTTTGTGTAGATATAAGATTTTCTTCGAGTAAAGAATAGTAAAAATAAAAAGAAAGGTTGACCTTACCTAACATATATGTGAGATCCACAAATATCTATCTCTTTCCAACAAGAATCATAACAATTTTCCATCTCTAACAAATTAAATTTGTTTTGCTAAAACCTAAATGTTGAGTCCACTACACTTCCAAATGCCACTTCTTGCCATCACATCCATCGTTGGGAAGTTCTAAGCATAAAGTTTTGCATATTAAGTGGGAGATTTTCTACTTGGAGAGAATTTAGCTCAGTTCCTGTTTTTCGTTCCTATTTATATTTGACGCCAAACAGGTCATTTACTGTAAAGATGAAATATGTTGGAGTAATATGAAATTATAATTGGTATTGAAAATTATACATATATTACTTCATGTCTTGGATATAAGAATTAATTAGATAGATGTTGGTTTAACTCCATATTTATTATTGTTTTTTTTTTATAAAGAATTATCCTTATTATTAGAGCTGTCAAAACGGGCCAAACCCATCAGGCCAGTCCTTTTAAATGGAAGACCAGGCTTGTATTTTAGGTGGTTTAAAAAGAAATTGGACTTAAAAAGACTAGCCCTATAGGGCTCAAAAATAAAAAGGCCAACCTTTTAGGGCCAAAGCTAGCCCTTTTAAACCCGCCTATTTTTTATTATTATTATCAATATATTTATAAAGTTAGAGATTAGTGTTTTATGAATAAATTTAAATTAGAAAAATACTTAGAAGAATCAATATTCAAGCTAGATAATTGAAAAGAATTAAATGTCTTGGACTTGTGGAAGAACAATTAAAATCAATTTTTAATTCTTTCAAAATGGTAGCTGATATTCTTAACATTTTCATCACCATAATAGCTAGTAGATCTTCATTTACCATCGGTTTACATATCTTAACAAAGTGTAAAACTTTTCTTATTCGAACAAATATTCAGGCTCTTATTTGTACTTATAACTACTGCATAGTTTTATTTTAGATAAGGTAAATGAAGACAAAATCTTAATATTTTTATCACTAAAGAAGAGCTCACTTGTAGTAAAAAACAATCAAATATTGTGATCTTGATGATACTGATGAAAATGAAGATAAAGATAATAATGATGTTGATATTATTAATCTTTAACTGCTAGGTTTTTATCTTTTGTTTTTTGTGTTTTGTTAGATTTTTATTTTTTTTTATTTTGGACAATAGTTTATTGACATTTAATTTTTTTTTTCTATACACCACTAATTTATTTTACTTATATTTATAATTTGAATAAAAAAATCTTAGAAGTTTTGTTGTTTTATTTTTTATTTTAAAATAATTAAAAGAATTTAAATTTTAAAAAATAACATAAAAGGACCAGCCTTTTTAAGCCTGGAGCCCGCATGTCTAAGGACCAGGCTTTAATAATTAGATAATTTTAAGGTATGTGGGCTTTAAAGGGCTGGTCTTTTAGGCCCTGGCCCTTCAAGGGCCTAACCCTTTAGAACCAGACTGATCCTTATTGACAGCTCTACTTATTGATTGCACATGTTAATAGAATTTATATCAAATGATAGTTTCAATACAAATAATTTAAGGCATTTTGTTAAACCCTTTAAAAATGTAATTTGTTACACTTTACTCTACCATAAAAAAAATTACATACATATCTTTAAAGTTTAATTTAGATGAGGTAGTCTTTAAAATTCATAAGGTTACGATGAGTTTTGAAATTTTAAAAATGCTTTATTTACCAATAAGGTTTTTGTATTAATAATGAGACTCAAGCCCACATTTTTATAAATTATGAGTCGCATTGTGGACCAACTTTTATTACTCATGTATCTTTTAAAAAAAATTACCAAGATTAGCTTTTTCTTGGACCTTATGAATAACTTCATGAGTTCTAGCTTGCCAGACATGCTAGAAAATAAAGAAAACGTTACGAAACAATTAAAATTTCGATTAATGAATTAAATTAGTATAAATATAAAGGGATTTTTTTTTCAAAAAAAAGGGGTTATAGCCAATGAAAAATATTCCAGGGCACAAGTTGCAAAATGCTCGGCTCGAACCATGCATCTCAAAGTTGAAAGTCTTAGAACCGCACCATCTGACCCCGACGTGATGAAGAGGAAGGGACTTCCAAAATTTATTATGTTTTGTTCAAACGAAAAGGCCATTTTCAGGATAAGATGTTGGGATAACAAACGGAGGAGAGAAACAAGAACAGAGGCAAAACAAGATAATGGCTTCCTCGACAATGGCGTTAAAGCTGTCCCCTTCGGTAACCTGTGGAGGCATGAGAGCTCGAAGTACTTCAGCTTCCCTCACATTCCTTACTGGTTCTTCGAGACCCAGGTCGCTTTCCTTGAATGTTTCCCACAACTCCTCAGCCGCTCGCTCTTCGCTGCTTCACTCCTCCTTCCTCTGCTCTTCTTCCTCTCTCTCTTTCCCCTCTTCTGTTTCCGGTACTTATGCATAAACTCGATTCTTTTCCGCCGAATGTAGTTTTTTTTCCAAATCTTACTGTGACTAGTGCTGAAATTTGTCTGCATAGTTTGGTTTAATTGAAATGAAATTTCAAATTTTTGTAGCAGTTTCGTAGTGGGCTTGCTGTGTTAACAGGCGGAAATTAAAATTTTGAACTGAACAGAGGCTAACACGTGAGAACCACAAGGAAATTTGGGGGTTTTTCCTTTATTTTTCGTAGCAACCACTTTTGAGATGGCTTGTGAGTGATAATAGAGGTGGTTAGACTAAACGAGGAGAACAGAGCTGATTTAAACTCTCTCTGAACACTTACTTTATAATTACAATGCTAAGTGAATAATTCCTGTTCTATCTCTTTAAGGTAGATGTCAATGAGGAACAGGAGAATGTGTTGTTCTCAATAGTGAATATTATGCAGAAACGTCATTGATGTTCTGGCTTTCTGCTTTCATCATGCTTAATCAGCTAATTAGTCATTACTCTTTTGGAAGTATATAATAAAAGACTTTTTTCAGATTTGGCTACAGTTCTCTCAGGTAACTGACAAATATCAATGAGGAGGAGGTGACTGAGTTGTTATGTATGCCATTCGGAACTTCGTTTGATTTTCTTATTTTTGGGACCTTTTGGCATTCTTAATTGTTTATACTTTCAGGAAATATGCAAGAAAAATCTTTCTTCAGATTTAGGTTGACTGTCTCTAAGCTGATTTTCAATTTTCAGGTTTATCCCTGTGTCTGGATTTAAAACCTAATGTTGGTATTAGAAGGGGAAATGGTGGCAGACTAGTTGTAAGGGCAGGCAAAGCTGCTCTTTGTATGACCAAGAGGAACAGGTCAAGAAAATCACTGGCACGGACTCATGGTTTTCGCAGACGGATGAGAACCACAAGTGGAAGAGCAATACTTAAGCGCGACGTGCCAAGGGGCGGAAGGTCCTTTGCCCAAAGTCGAATCCAAACAGTGGCAAACGTGCTTAGTTTTTCCTATTTCATTAGGTAAAAGCTTTACTTCCTATGAATTTATTTAAGTTCCTAGTTTCCCCCTTGAACTATTGGTTTCTGTAATCTCTATATTTGAAAAATTTATTCTTTCTTATGATCAACTGATCTTGTTAATTCCATGTTAGTTGTTGCAAAGATGTTGCTATCCATCGCCCTTATTGAAATGAAGTCAGTCACTTTTGGCAGTTAGTTATGCATGTAGGATGTTCCCCATTTTTGCTATATTCGCCTTGTAACCATTGGTTTCTACAACTTGTTTTTCATTTCTGCCTGTTCTAATTGTTTACATTTTCACATGCATTTCATCTTTACTCCACTCGTTTCAAACTCATCTTGTCTATTGCAAAGGGTCCGTTTCATGTTAAAACCAACGCATCACTTGTGAAAGTGTCAGCACGTTCCTTTACATTAGAGGGTACCACAGACTAAAGGTTTGAGACTCAACAATGACCTTTCCTTCCCTCCCCATATTTTAGTGGAGCGATCTTAATGGCGCTAATGGTTAAGCCATTTGATATTTCATTCATGTTTGTCTGCTTCATTTATAGTGATTAGAGGTACAACTGTGCCTCAAGATTCATTATTTTATTGAATTCTGATTAATCTTCAAAGTTTACACTGGGTAAGTGGTATGATATTTGTTTTTACTTAATTGTAAGGACGTATCAGAAAGCAGTAGGGAAGTTTTCTGATTTGGCTTAGTTTTGTGATATCTACTATCTACTGTGCCTGTGGGGATTACCAGAGGCAGCGAACAATAATGTTCTGAAAACCAAATCGGTGGTTGAATTGGTGTGACATTGGTTCAAAGTTTGTTTGTCTAACCTTAGTTGAACTGTGGTCAAATCAATCATAGTGGAATTAATACATTTTTATTCTGTGTAAACAATATCATATTAAAAATAAAACTGTATTAAGGTCGTTAATAGAGAATTTGGCTGTCTATAAGCAGATTGGATCGCAAGTGGGTTTTAGACAAAAGTAAGATGATTCATTATGAAAAGACAGCTCAGAAAGAATTAAGAAAACAGCTTATGCATATTTTTGGTCTTGAACTGTGATCTCTCTCTTCAAGCCTAGAATTAGATTGGGTCCTACTCAGGCTAATGTCTAGATTATTCAAGTTGAGTTTCAGACCAGTCTATTATCCTACAAATAGAACTCCTATAGGTACACAAGCTCTTGCGTCTGAAAACTTTTCATTGATACTAGTCTAGATATACAAATGTCGGTGAGATTTTCGCCGAAAGGGTCATCATTTGCATCTCCTTTCCTACTAAATGATGCCATAGCTGTAGAACAAATTAGATTGAAAAGTCTAAAAAGAAAATGGAAGAGAAGAAAGCTCAATCAGTAAGGCAAACTCTTGGAACTTGTGCTGATTATTAAAGACTTGAGCTTAGAAGAAGATTCTGCAGCAGCAATATTTGCCCTCTCTGTAATTGTTTCCATATTCCTATATAAACTCTCTTTGACCAAACTCTTCATCATTCTCTTTCCTTCTCTTGCTTCCATTTCATTCATAGGTGAACCCATGGACATGACTGTTCTGGATGTTTGTGGGCCCGAATGTGGGCCCATTCTCACTTGCCTTTCATCCTTAAACCATTGCAAGAGTTTTGAAGCTCTCTTCTGAGCCAAAGTGCTTCCTAGGAGAACCACTTCAAGAAGCACATGGACAATCCCTGCGTTGGCCATTTTCTGTCTCTGTGATGAGCTTTGATGAGCAAGAATCATCAAAATATAAGCAGAAATCTCTTGACATTTTGGCTTATCTTCCCACGACAAAATATCTATCAAGCTCTCTGGCACCATTGAGCTTTCTTCTATTGCTTTCTTCCCCATCAGTGTAACAATTAAGTTTCCCAGAGAGGCCAGAGCCTTCTCAGAAACTTGTTTTTCTGAGGAAAGTTCTAAAAGAATAGGGACAAACCCACCAGAAACCAAGGGCCCTGCATTCTCTAAGACAGTTGAGAGATTGAATAAGGCTCCTAGGCATAACTCTTTTGTGTCAAAGCTTGAGTTTGACCGCAGAATGTCTCTGAGAAATGGGAGAAAGTCCAGTGATGCAAAAGGGAATTGTGTGGTTGCCAAAGATGATAATGACAGAAGCAACTCTGCAATTTGACTTCTTGTTGATTCGTCCATAAGGTCAGTCCTCTTAGGTAATTTGGATAATATTCCTGCCTCCACTATCATGGCCTTGTTCCTAAAGAAAGAACAAACTCTTTAGGTAAAGAAACAAAAACATGTTTCAACTAAGTCAAAGTTAGGTTCAAAACGAATATCAAATATAATGTACTGACTTGTCTAAATTATTCAATCAACTTCCCACTAGGCTCAGTGAACATATTTTAGCTTTGATATCACAGACGACATTTTAAATAAACCCTTTTAAGGTGACAGAAGTCAATCAGAATCTGGGATCAGTATCAGTGTTGGAAAGAGCAGGTCAACAAACTAGACTTGACAGTATAAATTTAAAGATTATGTGGAGGGATCTTTTTCAACTGCCATATATTTTATAATATGCAATTAATGAAATCTAAAGACAAAATACTGCTTCGATAAATATTTTTATTATTAACATAGCTGGCATTGAGGTAGCATGTGTATTCTGGAGATTTAATTATGGTTATGTTTTATTCTTCCAAGTTCCAACTAATACTACTGAAATTGCACATTGATGAATGTGGGCGCCAGTGGGATTTTGAGGATCCCAAAATAGTGGCAAGATTTTATATTATCAGATTTAGTGTCATCGTTGGAAATTTAATTACACTGATTACTTCTAAAGCATTTCACCCTATAGAAGATCACTCTGGATTTCATCTTGTTTTGGTTCAACAATCAACGTCGTACATCAAAGATTAAGACGTTATCTACAAATAACTCAGACTAAGGGGATAATTGTGTGGTCAATAATTTTTTGTTCCAACAGTGAAATAACAAAATAATTGATGTGAGGGAGTTACATGCTTTTAAAAAAAAATAATTAGGGGGTTTCTTACCCAAACGCAATTTATGGAAGTTTTGTATAATGTAATTTTTCTAAGAGTAAATGAAATTTTGTAAGATACCACTTGGACCATGCCGGCCAAAGATTACGGCCACTTCTTTGTAATTCTGAAGTATAATGATTGTATATTTACTCTAATCCTGATGCTATTGAAGAATGTTAATGTTATATTATTTACATAAACAAGTTGACAAGAAAAAGACAACAAAAGCATGCTAAAGATAATATGTAACAAGCATTCGTGCTTGCACCTAATAGTGGAGATTGACTCAGACAAGTACACTTCTATCAACACCAAGTTAAGCAAAAGTTGTAAATAAATTATATTCTTTATAATATACTACCTGTGGTCCTAATTATAAGAGCCAGTTGATTAATTTGATGAGACTAAAGAAGTAAGTTGAGTTAGTTATTTGTTTTAAATAGGTGTTGTTTTTTCTAAAATATTTTTACTAATCAAGTATATTGACTAGAACTCTTATTATTAGAAAGGCTTCTTTGGAAAAAAAATGTATAAATATAAGAGATAAAGTGGATTGGGGTTATATATTTAGGATCAAAATAAAAGTCAAATTGGGTCTTATATTAAGGACCGGAGGTAGTATATGTTAAAAAAGAATGTGTGACATAGATGAGTAAAATTTATTGTTTAATGTATTATTTTTTATTCATTATCTTCAATTATATATGACTTGATTTATAATAGAATTTTAAATTAAAATTATGAATGCTAGCCCATAAGTTGTAAGAATTTTGAAGCTGCACGGAACTAATTTTCCACTATTCATTCTACCGCCCGCCCACTTATGGAAAATCTTTTCAATGTAATGATTTCAAACCAAAAATCAAACAATAGCCACCATCTAAACACCTAAATAATCAACAAAACCAACCCGACATCAACATTTCAGGGGAACTCAAAATTTCCCATTTATATATAATATTAAATTTTTTTTAATAAGTTGTACTATTTATAAATTAGTTCTGACAAAAAAATACTATATTTATTTCTTAATATAAGAACTAGATAATTAATCTACTGATATTAAGAAAATTAGTTAAGTTAGTCATTTATAATAAAGTAATGTTGTTTTTCTTAAGATATTCTTATTCATTATGTACATTAAAACTACTCTTTGATAAAAGCTTCTTAATATGTACAATTACCATGTGGATTAATTGAAATCAAAATAGATAAATATTGAAGATAAATTGTATCGAGGTTTTATACTTAGAATCGAATTGAATATTCAACTAACTTTTTATATTAAAAACCGATAGAGTACTATTTATAAATAATAAGTAGGATTTCATATTGTAATTAATTAAGATAATAACAGAGCATGAAACAATGCACAGATTCCTAAAAAGGATTTAAATATGTTTGAGAAAATAGGAAAATTACGTCAGAATTGTAAAACTTACGTGAAGCTACCATCAGCGAGCTGAATCAACGCCATGACGGCAGAAGTCCGGCGGCTGGATGCATCGGAAGCCACCATAGAGACGAGCACCGGCACCACGCCGAGCTCAATGATCAGCTTGCGAGCCCTGACATCGCGTTTCGCCATAGTTTCAATCTCTTTCGCTGCAATCTCCTTCTCCTCCCAATCACCAAAGTGGAGCTTCTTCACAGACCGCTGCAGCAAAATCTCACAAAACTCTTCCTTCTCCTCCTCCTCCTCCTCAATACTCTCACTCTGTTTCTCCATAACTTTAATCGTTTCAAGCTTTTCAACCTCTGCCTTCTCATTCTTCTTGTCGTTGCTCTCTGATTTGGATTTTGATACGCGAAATTGATCGGACTTTTGGTTGCGCTTCCGAGAAGATTTGGATTGAAGAAAACGTCTGATTCTGGTGAAGAATTGAAGGTTTATGGAAGATACAGTCCAAAAGGAAGAAGATGAAGGCATGTTTGGCTTGTGACTGTGGGACACAGAAAGAGAGAGATTGATGAAACTCTTATGAATTGAAGAACCTTTTTGGGTTTGTTCTCCTTTTTATAAATTTGTTCCTATTTGAGACAAAGAAGAGAGAGATAGAGAGAGAGAGAACAGGAAGGAGCTCTGTGAGTTCCAGAAACAGGGGAAGCACAGAGCACCCGCGAGGGCACAGTATAATTCCCACACATGATGTTCTGTTCATATATTTATTTACACTAAATATATATTTGTATATAATGAACAGGAAAAATACATATAGGAGCAATATTTTTGTAAACTTTACAATAAAAGTGACTTTAAGCATTCAAATTAGTCAGAAGGTTTAGTTTGTCATGAGATGAGTGGATAAAAATGTCCTTCCAGTAAAATAATGTTTGAAAATTGAAGAAGAATAAGATGATTTATGAATTTTCTGGTAATCCTACAAAGTTTTATTTATAGGAATTTGAACTCTCTCTATTCATAGTCCCCTTTGATTTGTAACCATATATTGATAATTTTTTATATATTATAAATAGTTTGTTGAAGAAATAATTTTACATTAAGAGAACAACTTGCTAAATATTTTATTCTCAGTATAGGACTTGGTTGATGAATGTATTTTACTGATTAGTTCTAAATGTAAAAAAAAAAAACATTTATTTAGTTTGTCTCCTCATTAAAATTTTTCTTTATAATACTTTTTGGGTAGTTTTTTTCCCACTCTTTTTTTCCTTATATTATTGAATAATCTCCCTCTACAATTTACATAGTTAAATAAGCAGATATTTTAGGTAAAGTCATATATAGTTTTTTAAATAATTATTGAAAATAATAAAATTTAACTAACTTTTTGAATATTTTTGAATTGATTAAGTAGGTATTTTATATTGATTTTTAAAAAATTTATAACTCCAAGAAATTTAGGTTATAACTTCAAAAACTGTGGGTTCAACATTCCTGAATAGTAACTTGTGCATGATACTTTTTCAGTTTTTTAGACTGAGAGAACAATGGGTGAGACAAAATGTCTAAAAATTTATTTAAAAAATTAATAATAATTCTAAAACTCTCCCAGTTTTATCTTTTTATTTTTCTTTATTTTTGCCCAGCACCACATACAATGATTTATTTATATTTTCTACAATATTAAATATAAGGAGTTAGTATGTTGGCAAAAAAAAAAAAAAGTCGGTAGAGAAGCCTGTTTCAATTTTGACTGAAAAACCTCAATTCATCGTATTCTTGAAATTTGTAATTTTTTTAATTTTAAACTCTCCCTATTCATTTCATAAATCTAACCAAATTTAATTAAAGGATTAGTTTTAAATGCCAATCATTAAAAGAAGTATTTTTAAAAAAATTATATATATATATAATTTACAAATAACTAATTTAAATATTTTTAAATTTTTATGAATTTAGCACCCAATAAGGAGTAATTTAAACTTCTTGTATCCCAAAAATGTTTTGTTGGTAAATTTTGAAAATAAAAGAGTTGGATAGTTGTTCATTCATGAGTCGGGACAAACTTACGCGCATTTCAAACTTTCTGAATAATTTGAAATTTATATTATAGGTCTCTAATTTTAAATTTTATAAACTTATGTCCCTCGTACGTAATTTTCCTACCAAATTTAAATTCGACCTCGAGATTGAGAAAGTATAAGAAAGTACAGTTGTTGATCTCCCTAACTTAACAGCTAATTTTTTTTTAATAATTTAATAGCTCATCTGACACAGATTTCTGTATTTAAGATTTGCATATTGTGCACTGTGTTCAATGTAACCTAAAATTGTTTTAAAATAATAATAAATAATAAAATGGCAACTAATCATGTCAAATTATTTCTGCCCCCCTCCTTCTTTCAAGCGCCTTCCCATCAAAAGAAACGTTTAAATTAATCAAATATGGGAGTATATTTTATAGTAATTATTTATGATTAGATGATACTCTTCCAGTCCTTAATATATAACCTAATTGTTAAGTTAATTTTGATCTTAAATATAAGAGTCATTTCTCATATTTATCAATTTTTTCTAAATTACCCATATGAATACTCTTTAAACCATAATCAAGTAAGTCAAGTAAGTAAGAGATGAAGGATATTAAGAAAGATGATTATATTTTTTTAGGCAAAAATATCATATTTTTTATAATTAACTAACTTACCTAACTTTTTTAATCTAATAAATTAGTTAAATAGATTTTATATTAAAGACTGGAGGAGTATTTAAACGTTTATCTTATTAATAGAGATATTGATTCGGTCTTTATATTGGGCTTGTTTGGATTGACTTATAAGTAGCTTTTCAAACGTGATTTACGGAATACGAGGTAAGTATGTGAGGAGAGTTTTGTCTCGACTTACGTGAACTTACTTAAAAGCCCATTTTGAACGGAGCTCCAAACAAGCCCTTTGTGGTGGGGGACAATTATGATATAATTGGACCTCATCCATTTCAACTAATTTCATCTGTAATAGTCGAATACTTATTGGGTAGGGTCCATATTGACCGATTCAAAGTTTTTGCACGCCGGAATCGAATATTATTTCCAAATGATTCGAATCATGAAAATAATCTAAATTATAAAATTAGGCTGAATACTATACCAAAATTTATCGACCGTAGATAATTCTTTATTTTTTGAAATTTTAGATCATTTAAATTAATTGAATGATTATAATTTGTTTAGAATAAAAATTAAGAGTTTGAGCCGAAATCAACAATTTTGAATAGAGCATCATTCTTAAATAAACTCAATGTTAAGCAATAAGATCTTTTCAGATAAATAAAATAAAATAAAAAGATAATTAGCGACGCTGAGAATCACTTTAAATCAAAAAGAAAAAAAATTGTGTCTAAAACCATATTTATAGATCTTTAATCACCTAGGAAATATATAACACCGTAATGAACGTCCAAGATCCTTCTCCACAAGATATACAATGACTGGATTATCTTTAAAAGTTTAAATGGGAGAACACAGTGAAGAGCAGGCGAAGATGAGAATGAGGTCCTTCTGCGTCCTTTCCTCTCATTTAAGTGCGCAGGACATATCATTTTCTTTCAATCTAAGTGATTTAATCTAAGGGTGGGTGGTCTAATCCAATCCAGTCCATCTTGAAATGACCCGATTTAGTTTAGTTCAGTCTAAATAAACTATATAATAAAATCAAACTACACTAGACTAAACTAGTTGCTCGGGCTAGCTTAGGTTTTAAACCAAGTGACAAGACCACCTGGATCGGTTCGGTCCAGTCTAAGTGAATTTTTTATCATATTAAAATCTTGCTTCTATAAAGAAAAAAAATTAAAAAAAGAAAAGAATATTGGGAACTTGAACTACCCAGACCAGTTTATTTGTCTGGTAGACTAAGTCTAGTCTAACTTGATCTCAGGTCACCACTAGACTAGACTAGACCACAGACTGCGAAACCCAACCCGACCAAAAATCATATCGAACTTTGGGTTGGGCTCTAATCTGATTCAGTTTGTCTATTGTGTACCCCTAATTTAACCTCCTTTAACCTTACCTTAAAATTAGTTTTATTTTCTTATTTTTTTGACACATTTTTAAGTTACATTCAGGATTCTAAAAATAAGACTAGAATACTAGATGCACTGTAAATAAGACTAAGATATTAGGAAAAAAATTATAGTTAAATTGCACTATTAAAAGAATTAAGGTGTTAAGTAGGCTTGAGAAATGATGATATCACCTTGCTGGGTAGACTTTTACCCAAAATTTAATGAATTACTCCTCCGGTCCTAATTATAAGACCCAATTGACTTATTTGAGGAGATTAAGGAAGTAAGTTAAGTTGGTTATTTATAATAAATAAGTGTTGTTATTCCTAAAATATCCTTGCTAATTAAGTATATTGGCTAAAACTATTATTATTAGAAGGATTATCTTGGAAAAAAAATGCATAAATATAAAAGAGAAAATGGATTGGGTCTTATAATTAGAACCAAATAAAAAGTCAAATTAGGTCTTATAATAAGGACCGGAGGAGTAATTTATATTGAGGATAAAAACAAATCCCTCCCACCATCCTATAAATTGGATCAAAAGTATATGCGCACACCTGAAGAGATTCCGCATGCTTAGGAAATTTTGGATGTAACGCAGATATGAAGCACGTGAGGTGTGGATGCAATCTTCTTGTAAAAGCATAAACTTGAAGGCACTGCACACGTGCCAGCTAAGAATTGCTCACTGAATCTTTTTTTTTTTTTTGGTAAAAACCAAATGGTATCCCCAAACGGATAGCTATAGACTAATCCTCTTAAGACGTAGAAATCATCAAAATAGGTTTTGCTTCTCCCAACAAAGCCTTTTTCATGCATACGGCCTGGTTTGAACCCAGCCATCTACCAACTGTGCTAGGTGCTCATTGAATCTTTCTTACTGCGTACCATCATTATAACTTATCAAAAAATGCACCAAATTAATAAAAAAAATTTTAAATTTACCATTAAAATTTTTCTCTCTTTACATTTACAAATTATTTTCACTTCTGTCTTTTCTTTCTTTATTTTCAACAAAAATTTAAAAAGAATAAAATTAAAAAATAATAAATAAGTATCTTATAAGTGATTTATATTTAGAACTAAAATTTTTTCTATAAATGACTTATAATAATAACCAGAATCGTAATTATTGATTGCTCACAAAATCTGATTTGAATCAGTGTGGCCTGAGATCTGATACTTCTCACATGCATTTATGTGTTTAAATGTGCGTGATTGGATTTTGGCAAATTGCCTTCATTCGAGGGTGATGAATTAATTGTTCATTAATTAAATTATGGTCCCTAAAGATAAGGGGTTCCATATTAGGCCATTATTTTTCTTTTTTGGCATTAAAATGCATTTACAACAACGCATCGCTCATTTCACACGTATGTAAATTATATTTAGAAATTAATACAGTACTATACATTTCGTTAACATTGTGAGATCCGATATCTCACACATATATTTAGAAATAATACTATACATTTCATTAAAATTGTTTAAATAAATTATTGGTAATTGTGTCAAGTAGATGGATTCCGTGTGGGGCTTAAGCAAAATCTTTAGTTCATGAGAATAAAAAAACT